TTTGGGTCATGCAGGACTTTTTATCAAGAATAACTTTTTTCCTTAGATCAAAATATTTTTTTTTCCATATGGTTCCAACTTAAGTAGACACACTGTATATAGATATATAGATCTACTGAGGCGCGAGAAGTACCGAGCGTACATGATGCACAATATACCCGATTGTAAAGCAAATGTCCAGTGTTGTCGATTTGTTTTTACTTCTGTCGGCAGTCTTCAATGACTGTCTCATTTTTTTTTTCTTTGGAAAAACGGAAGCCAGTTTTTTGGGACCAATTTTCTAATTTGTATAAAAAATTCTGTGTGATTTTCGATATTTTTACTTTTACCGAAAATAATTAAATCATCGGTATATAATCGAGCATTTAAAGGCGATTGTAAACCTTTTAGGACGTCATTTATAGCTATAATAAAAATTGTTGAACTAAGCACAGATCCTTGGGGAATTCCATGTTCTCTAAGTTCATTGTTGAAGACAATTTTGTTAGATAAAAAGTTTGTTATAAATGATAGGCAGTGTCCTGTAATTTTGAGGGAAAGTAAATTGTGAATTATTCTATCTTTCCATGCAGTGTCATATGCTTTCTTGATATCAAAGAATACGGCTAAACATTTTTGTTGCATCGCAAAAGCTTCATGTATATCATTTTCTAATGCTACATTGTCCATTGTTGTTCTGTTGTAACGAAATCCACTTTGTTGAGGATTGATTACATTTTTGGTTTCTAAGGTCCACAGTAGTTGTTTATTTATTATTTTTTCTAATATTTTGCACATGGCGCCTGTCAAAGACATAGGGCGATATGATTCTAGATTAATTTTGGAATTATCTGGTTTTAAAATTGGGATAATAATTGTAGATTCGGTCCATTTAAGAGGGAAATTGTGTTGTAGTCATATCAAATTAAAAAGTTTTAAAAGATGGTCGTGTGCATTTTCTAGAAGATTTTTTAGAAATATTATCGGAACATCATCTGGGCCCGGACTCGAGTCTTTAAAAGAATTTAGAGCTTCATCATATTCTCCTCTTGTAAGTAGGTGGTTTATTGGGTCATCGTCATCATCATCTTCGGTGTTTATTTGTTGGAGCTTGTGTTGTTTCGTAAAATTGACAGGCTGTTTATTATAGTTAGCAAAACTTGATCGTTTGTACATTTTTGCTAAATTTTCCGCAATCTGATGGTTATCAACGACAATGTTGTTATCAATTTGGAGACAATTTATCTTGTATTGGTGATTATTTCCTGAGATTCTTTGAACTTTTTTCCAGATGTCTGTCATGGGGGTTGAGCTGTTTATTGTAGAGACATATTGGATCCATGATTGTCTTTTGGCTCTTTTAATAGTTAGTCTATGTTTTTTATATTCAATTTTACTTTCATTCGTTTTCTTTCTTTTATAATTATTGAAGGCATTTTTGCTTAATTTTAAGGCTTCTGCACATTGATTGTTCCACCAAGGGACAGGGGTACGGTGCCGTATTAGTGAAGTTTTGCCGATAAATAAATTACCTGCATCCAATATTATATTTTTGAAGTTTTTTAGGGATTCATCTATATTTTGTATTAGTAAGCATGTTGTTATATTAGATTCAATATATTGACAAAATAGTGTCCAGTTGGCTCTTTTTAAGTTCCATTTTGGCATGGGTAGTGTTTCTGGATTAAGTTGATTATTTTAAATTAATATGGGATAGTGATCACTGTTGTATGTCATGAAAATGGGGAGTAAAAATCAGAGTCACATATCGTTAGATCTAGTGGTTTAGTTTCGCCTGTTATAATATTAAATCTTGTCGGGCTCGCATCGTTTAGAAAACAGATTAAAAACTTCTACTATTTCTTCTATAAGTTTCCCTCTTTGATCAGTATATATTGAACCCCATATCTCGTTATATGCGTTCATATCTCCGAGGATAATCCTGGGATAAGGGATTTGTTCGATCAACTCATAAAAGTCATTTTCCGTTATTGTTTGGCCTGGCGATAAGTAAATATTGCACATGTTTTTGTTTGTTTTACCTATTATTGTCACAGCGACTGCCTCGTATAAGTTGCTAATCAGGATAGATACGCCACCACTTGCTATATTTTGATTTTGACGAATTTTATTACAACAATGATAACTTTTTAAAATTGTATTACTTTCAGATTTAAGGTTAGTCTCCTGAAAGCATATAATATCGGGTTTTTGTTCTGCAAGGGTAATTTGTGGCATATGTAAGTTATTGTAATATCCATTAATATTCCACTGAAGTAATTTTTTAAACTGCATTGAGAAAAGAGAAAAAAATTAATAGGAAGTTTGCGAGCAATCACTTTCATTGTCAGTTGTATCAAGTGGGAATTGAAGATGTTTTAATAATATTTTCCTTAGTCTTGTACTTTCCGATAAATAAGGATATATTAATCCTAAGTGGTCTTCCGCATAGTCGTTTGATACTGTAAGTGGATCTGTTCAGCCTTTGATATTTTCCAAAAAATCTGTTAGTTGATTGTAATCTAGGACAAATTTGGGAGTGTGTTGTTTAATAAATTCATTGAGCGTAGTAGTATTCACCGAAGTTTCTTTCAATTGATATTGACTTTTCTTTTTTTTTTGTGGGTATTAGGTGCCTTTGGTTTTGGGAAATGAATAGTGTCTTCTTTTGATGGAGTTTAATTAAAATTTCATTTCCGTCTTTTCTCTGATTGATTAACTTCCATTGATATAATTGAAGAATTTTGTGGTTCTGGTGTAATTGTGACTGTCGTGGTAGATGTATTTGGCTGAAATTGGTTTGACGAAGTGGCAGTGGTTATGGGAAGAGTTGATGGAATAACTGATGGTAAGGCTGTTGTTTGGGTAATATTGGTTATAGGGGTGGTTATGGAAATTGTTGATGGTATATGTGATGGACCGGGTGTTGTATGAGTTGTAGTGTAAGTATGTGTGATTGTGGAAGAGGTTTGGCAATTAATTGCAAGGTGACCTATTTGTTTGCATTTATAGCATGTGGGATTGTCTCTTGATAGGAAAATTCTATAGGAAGTATCATGATTAATTATGATTGATTCTGGGATTACTGTTTGTGTTGGAGACATAAATATTTGCCTGCGAAAACTTAGGATGTGACTGAATTCAGGTAAGGATGCGCTCATTCTCAAGAGAGTCATAGGAGAAAGTAATGTAAGTCCCATATTTTCTAATTCACTAATTAGGATGTCATTTGGAATAGTCGGACAAACGCTGGAAATTATTATTCTGTCTGCAGGTGTAACATAACGCCGAGCTTGTACTATGGTATTATTATTTTCTATAATGCCTCCATGATCATTCATGAATTTTTCCACGATCGTTTGTGATGCTAAGTAAATGAATATCCTGTTATTTGAAAGTTTCGAGGTAAACAATATATTTTTTGGATGTACAATTTCTCCTAACGGTAAAAAATAATTTTGTAGTTTCGTTTCTTCAATGTAAGAAAATATGATTGCGTAATTTTTTGAAGGATATTTTTGTTGAGTCAGAGCGGTAGAGTAACTTCTATTATTGCTTGAGGATTCGTTTTGGGAACTTCTGTAGTCCCTTTGTTTGTTGAGACATTTTAGGAAAGTTTCAGTTAATATGGTTTTCGTTATCGGTGTTAAATATGATGAATAATGTTGAATTGACCAAAAATAAGAAATGAAACTGTACTTACCGTATATCTAAAACACTTAAAACTACTTTATAAATCTCTTGACCACAATATTTTAAAAAATAAACTATTATTGCCTATTATAGATTCAACTTTGATTTTTATCAGAGCTATTAATAATCACACCGTTCTGTTTAAATATCAGAACCGGTCCCCTCAAAATATAATTACCTACCCCAAAAAAGATTAGTCATATAAACATATATTTATAGGTACTCTTTTCAATACTTTCGAAATCTGTGGCTTTTATTAAACTCAATGTAACACATAATAATAGGTATTCTCAAAACATTTTAAAAATAAAATCGAGACGGTAGGTACTATTGTATGATTCAGTGACTCTTTGCCTATAGTTGGTGCGTTTCTGTATATCCCCGGGTTTTACATATTGGACCAGTATTTTTTGCATCTCACAAGATTTTATTCATTAAAAATCCAAGAAATTCTTTCGGGTCTATTGTTGCGGAATGGGACGTTTCTACGCGGCCGTTTCATCGCCGCCGATTCTACCGCCGTTTCTTCGCCGGCCGTTTCATTGCCGAGCCATTTCTACGCCAGCCGTTTCGTCGCCAGCCGTTTCATCGCCGGCCCTTTCATCGCCGTTAAGTTATACGTTATACGCATAGAGTTTACATAGACAATTATGATTTACAGGATAATACAACTAAACATAGTTTTAAAGAATTAGAAAGCTGTTTTTTAAATCGTATAACTATTGTTGTGCCCTTTTTTAACATTCCCAAAGCTTTTTTTTTACTATTTGCTGATTGGATCTCCCATAGCAACAACTGAATTTGTTATTTCCACTAGTTTTTTTATCAAAATTTTAAAATAACTTCGATATATTTATCGTTTGCAACGACTTTGCCTACCTGCTTTATAATCTCTTCACTATGCCCCAATTTTCTTAACAGCTGTGATCTTATACTCGCTCTATTAAATCAAATTATCACTATAGTTTATTTAAAAATGCGTGATAGCATAGTTTTTAGGGTCTATATTTTTATATAAAATGTATAAAGCCGGTGCTGTATGTACAGATCTGAGAAAATTAAATAGTTATGTTCCGAATTTGAAATTGAAAATTGTGCGCCTCACTTACTTATAACTAATAATAAAGTGCAGATTATCGGTGTTGACGTACACACAAACTAAAAATCAGTGTTAAAAAAAAACATAAATTTATCCATCATATCGTCCAGCTTGAATGGGGTAATTTTTTGTATTGACAGCATACGCCAAGCGTTATCTAGACTTTCTGAGGGCTATGGTTATGTATATTTACGCAAACATTTTGTAAACATTAAACGGGTTCTTTTAGAATTTTAATAAAAGCGAACCTCTAAAATCGAACAACAAATTATCTACAATAACGCCAGATTGTTTTCCACAAAAGGGACCATCTTGTGAACTGTTAATACGTGATGAAAATACTAAGATAGCTCTTTTAAGAAAAATTACAACTTTGGAAGAAGAATTGGCAAAAAATCAAAAACATTCTCACCAAACAGGTATATTCATTAAGGTATTTACTTCAGAATGGATCATATGATAGCTGAATAGACGTTGGCCCAAATTAAGTATATTTGCCCTAAAACACATAAAGGGCAAGGTACATGAAATGAAATAGAATGAATATCTTGAAAGGGAAATTGTGTCTACTTCAATTTTAATTTTATGCCGAAAAATAAGTTGCAAAAGTTTGTTAACTGAACGGTAGTTAATTCCTTGCCTATTATTTTACTATTTTGTTTATGATGTTTAAAAAGTGGTGAGTCATCTGTTCGGTTATGTCTGCAATTTTTAGGTGTCATTATAGTTGGTTTTAAACTTTTTTTTATTAAAATGTATGTTTTTTTGTAAATATAGACGCATCTTGTGGATTGTCATAATTTATTGATTCCTCACTAAAATCACTCATTTTTAATTTATTTTTACATTATTAACAGTCCTATCCCGTTACTGATGATCTTTATTACTTATGGACAAATCCTGCTTCCTCTTAAAGTTCCACTTACACATCCGCAAATGTCTTCATTTTTTGTCAGTTTTTGCGTTTGAGTGAGCTTTGCATTTAACTTTTATTATTGGTAGGGACCAAGAATACTTTTTGATTTGTTATTTGCTAAAGGCAAAACTACAAATAGATATTTCGTTTATTCTTACTATGTAGAACATGGAAATATTTTGCTGCGTCTCCTCAATGACAACGTCTTAAAAAAGATTGTGTAGAAGAAAATGTCATAAAAGTGCAAGCTTGAAACGTTCAGATATTAATTACATCAAGAGTTGTTGGAAAAATATTTACAGCCATCTACTTGAAATTCGACTCACAGTAGATTCTTGCTAGCTGCCAGCTAGCCACCGCTAAATCTATTACAGCAAACGATTTTCATTAATAAATTTAATATTAGTCTATTATAAATAATGAGCCTTGCGTAAATATTATTAATATTATTAGAATTTCACTTTCCAAACTTGAAGGTTTTCTACTTCTACCAAGATGGCAGCAATTTTTTTTATTTGCATTTTCTGCATTGGCTTTTTAAAGACGTCGTTATCGAGCGCTCCACCTCTGGTGCATCTACAGGAAAGTATTTTCATCTTTTACAGGTTAAGAATTAACGATAAATTTATAATTTAGAATTGTCAAATGTGTACTAAAACAGTGTCGATGGCTCCCCTACTATATGGACTCGATGACAATTGTTTAAAGCAAAGAATACCTACCCAAGAAGCGAAACTAAATGGGTGATTCGTGGACAAAAAACTGCCAAATTTTCTCAGTGTTTTAGAGGTGGTTTAACGTCAAATATAGCTGTCAATTTATGTAGACCAACCAGAGCAACGTTTGGTATATTATTATTAGCGTTTTGTGAAAATTGTAGTATAGTTAAGTAGTTGTATTTAACTAAGTAGTAATTAGAAATTAGTTTAGTTTTAGAATTACACAAAAAAAAATAGATTGCGTTATTCGGAAATTTTATTGAATGTTCTTGCATCTGGCTGTCAAAGTTTTTTTTTTTTTTTAATTTCTAAATCAGTATTACCTATAATAATAATTTACGCCTACGTATTATGCATCGTTTAATTTCTTACTCTTTTATTTAAATATGTTATTTTTGTTTGTTTTTTAAACCATTCGAATTAAAATAGTAAATAAACAATAATACAAAACAATAATTAAAATATATGACAAACTCACTTCGAGGAACCAAGTCGCTGCTATCAGGATGTAATCGAAATGCCTTTACAGCTACCTAGAGTACTTCTGGATATGTAACGTGTAGAGGGTGGGTTAAACCACGGCACTTAGGCCTCACTAGGCCCATTGTGTATCCTCAGAAAATGATAGGCACCTCCTATCTCATGAGCCAGCCTAAACGTTTAATGTAGTTGACTACGTCGCCAAGAGGTGTTTTTCTTATATCGGCCGGTGTTAGCCAATACTTGCTGAAAACAAATCTTTTAATAAATGAGAACGACTGGCAATCGTAGAGGATATGTTCAATGGTTTCATCTTTTTGTTCGCACCACCAGCAGGGTGCGGATTCTGATAGCCCCATGATATGGGAATGCTTCTGTACTTAGTAATGACCAGTCAGAATGTCTGTGATCAGACGCAGATTCTGTCTAGTCATAGTCAAGTATTTGTTTGTTGTAGAGTTGTCAGGATAACTTAAAATCTCCGTGGTAACTTAGCAGTTTCTTGTTTCATCCCATCTTTCCTTCAATTTCACAAGGGAATATTCTTTAATTAGACCTGTCACTACCGGTGTTGTCAGTCCAATAGAAGGGCCAGGTCCAAAAAGTATTTGGTTGGCCGCCATCTTGGCTAGTGAAACAGCAATAAGGCGTTACTTTGTTGCTCCATCTTAAGATGACCACATTGTTGAATGGATTCTCTTGCCGAAGCTTCGTGACATTCTAGTACTAACCCTGATTAAATTCGTAATCTGTTCAGGGTAAGTAGTGCTTATCTGCTATCTGTATATGGATGAACATGCTTTGGTACATACGAAAACTCATTCAGTTTTGCTTCTTGGGTAGGTATTCTTTGTTTAAAGTATGAAGACTAGAGATAAGGAGACGAATCGGCATACTCAAAATACGGTCCCAAAAAACGCATGCTAATTAAGCTTCTATTATTAACCGCATGGGCCCTGGTACTGCATACATTGTTCAAAATACATGGCGTCTCATGGGAATTATACATAATTTTGTCAAAATAATGAAAATAAACTTGTTTACAGCTAAATAAAGCACAGAACATACATAAAATACAAATTAGGTATGTATGAACAAATTCGAAAAGGTTTCTTAATTGCTAAAATTTGATAAGTACAATTTTGTGGCTATTTTTTTTTAATTGAACCAATATATAGTTTTAAGAGTAAAATAAAACACAGTTAACAGATTTTTTATTGTAATACAAGTATAAAGGGAGATTTGGGAATGTACATGGTGTCACCTCATCCTTTAATTTCAGCTGTCCCCTTTTTATTTTTGCTAACAGTACCATCAGTAAAAATAGTCCCATAATATTTTGTAATATCTTCTAAAAATTATAGAACAGCATCATCTCTAGAAAGTGCTTTATCGGCACTAGGAGCGATGTATATGCTGCCACTGTTCTAAACGTTTAGTATCCTATAACAAACATTTACAATGACACAATTGGGGTCCAAAAAAAAAATAACAGTAGCAACTCTTTATCTAACATTAAAACTCTATAAAAAATACATTTTCTTTTCTAGTAAGTTAAATTTAATGCATAATTATTGTTGTTTGTAAGTCAGCATCTAGCCGGAGAGGCTAGCTGCGAGCTTAGTGTGCATCCACATACTCGCAACAGTTAAGCAGTGATTTCTCCGGTCACGTCATGGATGGGTGACCGCTGGGAGGTTCCACCATAGGCCGTGTCACTATGGGACTCATCCGACTAGCGGTTAATCACCGACGACGTGGAATGAATGAGAAAGTAGTACGACCTTCAAATGGTGGTACAATAAGCCGCAGGCTGCAGTGCCGCCAGGCTATAGACGGATTAGGGTGTAGCACGGAAGATCCGAAGGGTGTAAAAACTAAAAAAAAAAGTCATCATCTATAACTGTAAAATTTTATATTATAGAAACTTATAATAAAATAAACTACACTTCGTAAGATACATATTGTGACTAGTTTACAATAAATATTATATTTAGACATGAATACATTATTTTACTTACATTAAAAGCTTTAAAAAGGCATTGAATTGATTTCTTCTTGTGTTTTCTTTAGTTTTACATTTGATTTTTATCCTGTTTTACAATCTAGAATGACGTAAATCTTGCTTTGATGTTTTTTGTCACTCATGTTACTTGTACTCAGGTACTTTTTTTTCACATTATTTTGATTCTTTTCATCAATTTTTTTAAAAATCACTTTATTTTACATTGACTTACATAGAAAATTAACTGCGCTGTCATTAGACATGCCAACTACAGTCAATTTCGCAAACTTTAAAAAAGAAGGACGGAAATTTGAAATTTGACCATTGCCGATACGCCTCCTTCTTTCTAGTCTTCATAGTTTAAAGTATCGATGACAGGGGTAATCGTCGTAGACAACTAAACAGTTGTAAGGCGAGGATAAGAGAGATAGAAAATAAGTAGTTTGGAAAATTACTAGATGAAAAAGTCCCGTGCTATTTTCGCGCATGATTAATGCGAACTTGTCGAATAAAGGAAAAAGTGGATTAAAATATACACTGACAATTAATTTAATCTAAAATAAGTTGGTAATAAAATATAATTATTATATTCAATAAAAATAGTGGTTTCGGGATTATTGATAATCCCATGAGCTAATAAAATGCACACACTTAAAAAATTGAAAATAAACTTCATTCGTTTCTTTTCTTTATTTACAAAATGTTATAAAAGCCGATAATAGCAATTATTAGCGTTTTTATTATTTTATTTTTACATCGCCATCGTCCACTTCTACTTTTGATATCTAAACAATTAAAATTTGATATCATTAATAAAATCAACAGTAACTAGACTAAACAAAAATAACTAGACCTCAACAAAGACGAAAAAAGAATTACTTAAACTAACAACAATAAATAATATTGCAAAATTATTAGAGTTATAAAAAAAATACAATTATATTTATTAGTAAATATAATGTCATGCTCCATGAACATTAGTATCATAACCTGTATAATGAATGACCAATCATCTAATGGCCAGAGCTTGAAAGACGGTTACTTGTTGATGTTAAAATATACTTTATCTAGCTTATATAATGGTCTAACGGTACATCACCTTCTATCACCCTGAAAAGGAGGATAACTTCTATAGCAGGGTATTAGGAAAATAAAATGTTCAAGAAAATGTATACAAAACTTATGAAAGTCACTTTTAAACTAAAAAAAAAAATCACCTAACGACCTCTGGTGGATTTGTTTGGAACTACGTTATGTTTGGTGCCATATCGTATTTTGTTTTTATATGGTATTTGAGGG